TCAAAAATGTTTTTTTTTTAAACATTGAATTTTCTCCAGAGTTTATTTACCTTATTTCTTAAATGTTCAAGTAAACTTAGAAATTTTAAATATTTTTTCTTAGATTTTGGAGATTTTTAAAATTTTGTTTGAAACTTATTAGTATTGTTAATTAAAATAAACAAAATTTGGATATTAAAATGGGCACAGTTGTAGAAGTTTGTGTATTAAAATGGGTAAAATAACTAGTTGACGTATTAAATTGGGTAATAAAAAAGTTTGGGTATTAAAAATTTTAATAGAATTTAGTTGGGGTATTTATATGGAATTTTCCCTAAAGAAAAAGACGTCAACGTAACTTAATTTGGATACGCTTGGTATCATTCATTTTAATTTAGCTTGAATCTAGTAGGGTTTGTTCATTTTAGAGACCATATATATAATTATATATATATATATATATGTAACTATGTCTTTTGAAAAAAAAAATATTACATATATATTGTCTTTATACAACATCTATTTGCAATTGTTTTGAGATACTCCAAATTCAAGAAGATCGTTTTATACTATGGTGAATTGATGTGACTTGGTTTCAATTATAGTAAAGTAAATAAACAATAAATTAATTAAATAGCATTTGAACTAAAAAGTAAATGTTTAGAAGTTAGTTTTATAGGTATAACAATTTTAAATATAATTTCCGGGAAAATACCCCCAAATTTTATAAAGATTTGATTTATCAAGGGCCAAATTACATAAAATATAAGTGGAGTTAAAATCCGTGTCTACAAATCAAAGAAATGTCGTTAGTTGTGCGTGAAACATAAGATAATTATTTTATGAAAGATACAGCTATGTACCACTCCACATCGATTACCATAATTGTACAACTTTACAATCTAAATCACAATCAAATCAGTCGTTTATCTTGTTTTATATTATACTACAATCTGTTTTGTAACTGTGGTAATTTTTAGAAAAACTTATCTTAAATTGAAAGCTAAGAATACTATCTATAGTAATGTGAAAAAAAATTGAAGCATAATATCAATCGATTAGTTTTCCTTTTTAGTATGTATGAAGCTACAGATAGACAATGTAATAATCATCATAATTTAACCTAACATATTAAATAGAAAAACATTGGTGAAAAGGTTATCGTATGCTCAAGTCAGTGAATTCATGCCTTTTCTTCTATATAGTTTTGTAATATTGTTTAAACATGACCAATACAAACATACGATATATGGCATAAAAAGATATGTGCACAAAAAATGGGAAAAGGAACATGACATATACAAACATATGATATATGGCATAAAAAGATATGTGCACAAAAAATGGGAAAAGAAGTAATGGGTGTAGAACAAACACATCGAACGATTCGGTTCTCTATCAAACATATTCAACCCCCCCCCCGCCCCAAATAGTAGTATTGTTGATTTTGACCTATGAAAGTTTTCACTTGGATGTACTAATGTTTTTCAGAACGGAAAAAACTTGTCATGTACTAACTTCTTTTTTTATTATTTCATATTTTTGGGTAACACAATTTGTGAATGATGACTTACTAGCTAGTTGTTTGGAATTGTCTCAGGCAATAATCAATCTTAAAGAAAATAATCACCTTCGGGTTCATAAAGATTGATGTAGGTTTTTATTTTGAAGAATATTGATATATATATATATATATATATATATATATATATACAATACTATATGAAAGTTAAATTAACACTATAATATATAAGGATACAAACTAATTTACTTATTATCAATTAGTTTTAAATTATAAATTATAACAAATTAATATTTTAATATTATATTACAGTTTGAGAGTTCGAATAGTCAAACTCATACCAAAATAATTTGATCTATTGAAAGATCCAATTGATCTTATTCAAAATTGGTCTAACTAAATTAGTTAGATCAATCTAACCTAAAACTAATCCAATAATTAACTTTTACAAATACTAATGGTAGACAAAATGTGAATAGATAATAATTGCTTTAATGTGTGTACGTACATGTGCTTATAATGCTTTTTGTTTGACATATTATATATAAGAAATTGATGAATAATGGATAATGATATTTCTGAAATACAAAGTAAGAACATCAAACTGCATGGAGAATATAAATGATGTTCGGAGGGCATTTATGGTATTACCGTAACAAAGCATTTATTTCAATTAGTCGTCTTAATAAAATTTGTAGAGAAACTATAGAATTATCAAGTTGTCTCATCTGATATTTCGTACTTTTGTTCATTTGTAATTTTCCGGTTGAAAAATATATTAATCGACGATCTACGATCACATATGACGTTTTTTGTCTACTTCAACATTGGTCCCTGGTCAAATAAGCAAATAAAATAGATGTCATACATATTAGAAGGTATGACGATAAAAAGCACATGACAAGATGAAGTTCTCGAGTATAATAATTGAAGTAAAACATAAATAAAAATTCGGGTTGAACAATAATAACCATCTAATTCAGTTTTTTTCACAAGCAAATTAAAATAACAATATACTAATAGTTGTAATAATATTGTTGAGTGTCTAGCTCCATAGATTTACGGGATTAATAAGCTCACTTTAAGCATAATTTTACTTTATCTTGATGTCTTAACAAGATTATGTAGTGTTTGACGATAAATAATTTATATTATTTAAGAAAATTATACCCTACGCTTATAGATTCACTAATTAACTAAATAGTTGCATGGTTAATGTGTAACGTTGCAGTGATCATGGTTGTCACTGGGAAGTAGTGATCAAATTATAAGAGTGTTTAATTTTGATATACCATTTTCAAATGACAATTTAATCACGATCACTGATTTTTTTTCTGACATCCTCGATAACTAATCTGAAATCATCCTTTATCACAAAAAAAAAACTAATTTGACACCATACAAGTAAAATTAAAGACCAATCTTTCAATCCTTAAGTATATTCATTTTATATGTATACACAAGGACATGACCAAGCTAGTTGTGGCAAATAAATAGAGGGTTAAAATAATATAAATGTTTTTGTTAAGGCAAACAAATTCTTACTTATTATTCAAACTTTAATAAGTTCTCTCAAAAGTTATCCCCCAACAAAATCATCTTCAATTTAGCACATGATTTATAGTTTCTATTTCCAACCAAAAATGACCTCCTCAAAAATTCTTATTATTCTTATTTTTGATATGTACTAAAAATGACCTCCTCAAAAAAGTCCCAAAATTTTCTTTGGAAAAGTATATATTGATTCATTTGTTCGTATCTTTGGTTTCTTCTTAAAGTTTATAGAGTCTGAATACATACTTATCTTGTATTAGACTTAATCTTATATCTTCATAAAACATTTAAAATGATTTGACCTTTTCTATATTGTCTACAAGTTAGGTAAACATTTGATTCATGCTACCAGAAGAAGGACCATTATAAACAAAAAAAGATCTCTAATTATATGTTAATCTAAGAATTTTACGTTCTTATGGTCGCTTACAGTTAGAGAAAAACAATGTTGCATTAACATATACTTGTTTCTTTTTGTGGTCAAAATTATGGAAATTTCGTTGTCTTAATCAAATTATTATGATAATTTGTATATTTGATAATAAATCAATGAAGTGTAGGTTTCTAGTTCATGTAGAGTGTTTTAGAAATTATTTAACTTTAAATTTTTTTCTAACAATTTGGTCTTATTGTTTGTAAATAAGCAATAGAGCTGTAGACTTTCGTAAAACTTATATATTTGAGGATTCACTACAATGATTTGGCACTATTGTAGCCCTATGTATTAGATGACATAAACAAAAATATGAGGATAAATTATTTCTACCATAATAATTTGGATGTCGTAATAAACCAATAAAATATGTTTATGTCACCTTTGTTGTTTCTCAACTATCATTTAATGTCACCAATTTTTTCATAACATGATTGATAGCTTTTGGAGTCATATACTTCTTCTATTTCAACATATAATTTTTTTTTGTTAAAATCACTAATATTAAAGTAGCTATTTAATAAAATATTTAATATATAAATTTAATCAATTAGAAAAAAATTATATAATATAATGGCCACACAATATTCAATAACTACATTTTTTTATTGAAACATGAAAACTACTTATATTTTTAAACAAACAATAAGTTAAAGGGTTGTCATTCAATTAGTAATTTAAAATCAATTATTAATGTTTAGTAATCAATCAAATTCTATGGATTCTAAAATATTTGCAGTATGTATTGGATTTTTATTTCAATCATTAATTCATGAGATTCCATAAAGAATATTTAAATTAAATTCAAAATACTAAAAAAATTAAAATCCTTAAAAGTTGAATAGTACTATATTTTTAAAAACTGAATTTAAAATTATTGAATAACATTCAACTTTAAAACATAATTTATAATCATTGTTTAAATAACATTGAACCGTGTTTAGATTTAAACTATATTAAAATACATCATTGAATAACATCATCTAAAACTATTTAAATTATGAAACAGAGGGAGAGGGAGTAAAACTTTTATTGCTAGCGTTTGGAAAGACTGCATGAATGTCATTGCGATTCTATACAATTTTACCTATAACATACTTACAGTATGTAGAATCGTCAAATTTACATGAATCCATTTTGTAAATCGCTAACAGTTTTACTGATCAGATAATAATTATGTCGTTGCATTCTACATGTTTATGTTTTTCATGATTTTGCATTTCTGCAATGTTAACAATCAGAACAAACATATCACCTAATGTAAAATGATGAGCAAAGACAAGATTCAACAACACACAAAACAACTTAAAAGTGCACAACCTATCAATCTCTTTCTCATTACAAAAACACAGGAAAACAGAACAGAACTCACTAATTAGATCTCTCACAGATTCACAGATACATACACGCATGCATCCAAAACTTACAAAACAACACACAAACTCTTATATCATCTTTCTAGTTTCAGTATGCATGCAATCATGATTTCTTGGTCTTTTAACCCGCATGCTCCTCCTTCTCTGCGTCCTCCAAAACCTCTCCTATAAATACCATAACTCCTTCACTAGTCACCACAACATCTCTCTTCTCTCTCTACACTCACTGCTCTGTTCTTATTGTAACTCTCTTGTTCTGTTTCACTCCCACATACTCTTCTGACCTTTCCCATGGCAGTGTCTGGCTTTGAGGGATTCGAGAAAAGACTCGAACTTAGATTCTTCCACAACTCTATAACCAATAAAAACCCGATGGGCCTCCGTTTAATCGACTTCGAATCACTAGACCAAGTCCTAACCGAAGTGCAGTGCACCGTGGTCTCCGCCGTAGCGAATCATAGCTTCGACGCTTACGTCCTCTCAGAGTCAAGCCTCTTCGTCTACCCAACCAAGATCATCATCAAAACATGCGGCACCACGCAACTCCTCAAATCAATCCGACCTTTGATCCATCTCGCGCGTAACGTAAACCTCACGTTACGCGCGTGCCGCTACTCGCGCGGAAGCTTCATATTCCCTAACTCGCAGCCTTTCCCTTACACTAACTTCGAAGACGAAGTCGTCATCGTCGAAGAAAGCCTCCCGAACTCTCTCCGTCACCGTAAATCCTCCGTCATGACGCCGTCTAATAATAAGAATAACACTTCACGTGCTTGGCACGTGTTCACCGCGAGCGCTGACGTGGAACCGGAAGAGTCTGTAGTTGTCGTGGAGGTATGCATGACTGAGCTTGACCGAGTCAACGCTCGTAGCTTCTTCAGACGTAAAGGCGGCTGCGAGGAGAAAAACAGCGATTCAGCCGGGAGAGAGATGACGCGGCTGAGCGGTATCGATACGATAAACGCAAACGCGTTTATATGCGATTTCGCGTTTGATCCTTGCGGTTACTCGATGAACGGAGTAGACGGTGAACGTTACTCGACGATCCACGTCACGCCTGAAGACGGTTTTAGCTACGCGAGCTTCGAGTGCGGGTTGTCACTTTATGACGGAGGTCACGGAGATATCTCGGAGGTGTTGACACGTGCCGTTGATGTTTTCCGGCCGGGTTGTGTGTCCATAGCCACCACTTACAACGGCGAGGATTATGATCACGAGGTGACGAAGCGTGTGGAGAGGGTGTTGGCGAAGAATCTCGGTTTAAAGTGTCGGAGCAGACTTATGGATGAGTTTCCTGGCTCCGGAGCTGTTGTTTTTCAGTCGTTCACGCCGCGGCGGAAATAGTGTTTTAGGTTTTAAATAGTTGGTGACGTGGAGGGAGATGATTGGTTGAATTGGGTAAGGAAAGATATAAGTGGGAGCATATGATCATGCGCCCCACTTTGAAACTTGTGGCAATGTCACGCCTAAGCATTTTTTGAGGTTCTGTGTTTGTAGAATTTTAGTGGGGGATGGTAAAAAAAAATGTTTGGTCTTTACTTCTTTGTTTCTTGTGTTTGTTTTTCTTTTTTTTTTTTAAAATGATCTTTAAAGTCTCTGCATGAGACTCTTGATAGTCATTGTTATCTTATGGATGCCAACTAATTTATTCATCACGACGGCGAGAAGTATATTTACTTACTATACATGTCTCAAGCAGATTTGAGAATATCAAGTTGAGCTCTTTTGGCTTTTGCGTATTGACCTTTAAAAAGAAAATTAACATATAGTTAATGACTTAGTTAATAATCGCGCATGTAAACCAAATCCACCCCGAACATACTAAAATACAATATGCACGTGACAATAATTGGCTAAAAGAGAAAAAGAGAAATCAATTTTGTTACGTCTAGTAGCAAAATTAATCACTATGAAACTGCACTAAGATATTCTCTGAGCAGTGGAAGCAACTCCAGTACTCCACTACAAAACTTTACTTTGCTAACAACTTATAGCTAATTCATTATTTTCCTTAAAAACAACCACTTAATCAAATTAAAAAAAAAAATCAACGTTGCACAAAGATGGCTAGTGCATCCACATTATGCGATTCTCCGTCACTTTCTCCATTTCTTCAATCGTGGAAGATTCAGAAAATCAGAACACTCTCCGTATAAACAAAGGAACCTTTTATTATTTTGTATGGGCTTTATTTATTCATCTAGAGCCCAGGCCCATCTACAAATAAATAAGAAGGTCTGATATAAGTAGCGGTCAAAACGAACATTTTAAAAAAATTCTAATCCACAATCCCAAAGAGATTTGTACTATAACACTCGGAGTTTCTGTCAAATCAAGCATTGAAGTTTCTAGACAGCTTCTTGAAAGAAGTATGCATAAAAAATTCAATCAAATCTTTGACCGGTTAACCTAACCGGGTATATATCTTTTTGTGTTGTTATCAACTTGGTGGTGTGTTCCACTTCTTCCTTTGTTCATCAAAGCTTCCTATTACCGCAGATTGGTTCTTATCACCGAGTCTAGAAGCAAAACTTTCATAGCACCCTCTCACATCTACTCTTTCCAGTATCTTAACTTGTTTTCCACGCAATTTATCTATCAATATCTGACCATCTTCCGATACATCACCTTTAGCAATCACTCTTATATGCTCATCTCGCAGGTTTGGCTTCAATAAAGAAAGATCCTCTCCCAAGTAAACCGCTCCGAGAATCTCTCCTAAGAACATGTCCTGCAATACACATGCACTTTATGTGCTCAGCTAACCAAAATCATATCTGTCTAAAGATGAAACAGACTATGACAAGAGAGGCGTTACCACGTGCGCGTATCTCCTGTGTTTATGATGAAGCGCTTGTAATCTAGCAAGCAACCGTTTCACAAACAGACTTTCAGGTGTTTTCGCCGAGGAATAGAGTCTATCAAGCATTGTTTGGAAAGAGCTCAGCTTCCGTTGGGTTGCTAGAGGGATGAATGTGATGTTTAGTCCGGATTCAAGAACCGTCTTAGCTGCTAAAGGATCAAGAAACATATTGAACTCAGCGTATGTGTTCTTAGGAACAGTGAATACGTTCCCTTGGTCTGGTTTCTCACGGTTTATGTGTCCTCCCACGATACAAACTTCCTACATTTTACATAAGAAGCCATGTTAATTACTAAAACTGGATCTTGATGAAAAAATGTATTAGAGAAGGTTTCTTGCCTTGATTAGTGAGGATGAGTTTTTATCAGATGAGATTATCTTAGCCAAGCTAGTCAATGGTCCATTGGTTAGTACAGTGATCTTAGATGTTCCATTAATAGATTTGGTCAGATTTTTCCAAACTTCAAGTGCAAGAGGTTGTCGAAGTTCAGGCCGATCAGTGTCTCTCGGAGCTCCATGTGTCATAGAGTTCTCTGCAGTGTATCTGCATGCATGAATATGTTACATATCTATCTTCCACAAAATGATCTTAGGAGTTGTATAAATGTTATATTAATATATATTGTAAGGTATTTGTTTTTACCTGCGAGGGCTTCTTGGGAGGTCACGAGCAAAACCGTAAAGAGTGTCGGAATCAAGAAACCCACCACTGCCTTGAGGAACAGCCTTTATGTACTTGCAATCTCCAACCGGTGGAAATATCGGGTCAGATTGGTTTAATGCGAACATATCTCCTAAACCAATTGGAATGTCGTCACGACCCATCATATGAAGCAGATCATAGACCACATCGATTGTTGCTGCATTAGCCCAACCGGTTGGGCTCACAATAATGGCCTGATGAGTCAAGACATAGCAGGTGCTAACAGTTAAGATACTGAAGATAACAGCAGGTGTTACTTGTGTGACAAGAAACAGTTATATCTTGGAACACACATACCTTCAAATCGATTTTCTCCACTGGAACTTTAAGGAGATAGAAGAGAGAGATGAAATCTCCTGCGCTCATGTCCATATCAAAAACAACAGGCTTTCCAAGCTGTGTTTTGCTAAGATCTGGTCTATACAATTCTTCTTTGTAGTATGGAAACTGAGATGAGAAGTTATACCTCCCTGTTTCTCCTGGTTTATTCAAAACCTATTTATTATGTAGAAACTCTGTTATATCACTCAAACAAAACAAAAAAACCTGATCTGTATATGAAAACTTACATCCAAGAAATCAACATAGAACTCTCTGTCAAGTTTACTTTGGATGTTTACGTTCGGTTTAGCTCGTCTCGCCACAAGAACACGAACTGAATCAGGTCCAGAAGTCTCTTGTGTATAACCATCCTAATAAAATTAACCATAAAAAGGATTAAAATGTATTGTTAAATTCAAGAATGGTGAGTGAAGGAACACACAAACCTTACACCTTCCTTTTCCACTTTTAGGTATGCAGATTGGGTCACGCAAACCATTCTGAACATGACCACTGTGAACTCCTCCAAGAGTTAGGTTAAACTTTGGAGTTTTTCTTTTATCAAAGAAAGGATTTGAACCATCAGATTTTCCATAAGGTTTGTTTGAAGTAACAACGGTTATGTTCATGTACTCCATCTCGGCAAAATCATTCTCACCACTCTTGTTGTTATTTTTAACTGAGTTTCTCATTATTGAGACTGCAACACCAGCCGTAAAAGAATCCCACATGAAATAGCTCTGGAGAATGTCACAATGGTAATAAACTCATATGTTAGATGTCAATGGTTATTGAGATGGTGAGATAATGAAATAATCAAATATCTTATACACTTGAGCTGACAAATTTATGTTGAATGATTACAAACTTTAGCAACTTATTTTTTAGATTACTGTCTTTTATTTTTTTAGTTATATTATTAACAAGTGCACCTCAACATGTATACTGAAACCTAGGGAAGAAACCTAAAAAGAGTTTAAATAGCAATATTTAATTTTCATAAATCACCTCTACAACATTTTAGTGTGGGAAATGGATTCCATACATACCTGGTAAAACTCATGGTCGAACCAAGTGTCTCTGGCAATTTTCAAAGATAAGAAAACGTATTGGGCTTCGTATGTCCTCTGGTTGTTTTCAAATGTCTCAAAGAATTGCTTGTTTATTGGTATTGTGTTGGTTGCATCAAGAGGAACCTGAGTCACTGGAATACCTGAATGAAACACCTGTAATATATATGTTCAAAAATTAGCAAAAAAAAACACCTGTAATATTTGTTTTTTTTGATTATTTTCCTAAACGACTAACTGTCATTGCTTTGCGCTTCATAAAATATAGACCACAATGAACCTGATAAGCAGCGAAAGGATCAAGGAACATGTTGAACTCAGCGTAAGGATTACTTGTATAGTCTGTGAACAAGTTCCCACGGTTTCCACATTGTCGAGGTTGACATTGCTCTGCAGTGGAATTCGCTGGACAACATCCGGTGGGATTTCGAGACCGTACACCACCGCCCATGACGTATACGTGTTGGATGTTGTGTTTGAGGTGAGGGTTTGACATCAAGAAGAGGGCGAAATTTGTGTGAGAACCGATGAGGATCACGGTGATTGGACCTTCGGAAACTTTGTCGACCATTACTTTTTGTGCCGTTGGTTGCTGGATAGGAGTGTATCTTCTCTTCCCCTGTTTTGCAACAAAGACATAACAACCAAGTGAACCACTTGGACTTTTCTTAAAAATTTTATACGTCCTCTGTTTTCTTAAAAGTACGTTCTAAGTTTTTTTTTTTCTTTTGTTGTTCAAAAAAAAATTTTTTTTTTTCTATTTTATTAGAAAAAAAAGTTTTCTTTTGTAAACTTTTTTTTTGTTGTATTTTGTTAAGATATATATATATATATATATATATATATATATATATATGTATGAGGTTTAAAATAAAAAATATTTGTTGGGTTATAAATATAAATCACATAATAAGAACATACAAAGATCGTAACTATTTACGGATTATATCCAAAACATCACCTTTAAAGTTTATCTTAAAAACAGCATCCAAAAAATTCTAAAACACTCATTTTATAAAAATTAAAAAAAATTTACTCTAACTCCTAAATTTTACTTCCACTCATTCCTTTGAAACTAAACTTTAAACTCTAGTCACTAAACTCGAATAGTATATAAAAATTTTTTCACTTTGATTAACTACTAATTATTTTTTTTCTCTTAATTTATTATTTTTGGAAAAAATATTAAATTAATGTTGTTATAGAGGTTATTTCTCAACTATTTACTTTTATATAAGACACATAGGAAATTGTTTTCTTATGAAAACATATAACAAAATTTCGGTCCAACATCTTCGGATTAGTTAAATGAAAAAATTGCCATTCATAATATATCTTTATTAAAGTATTAAAAACAGTACTTTATTAATCAAAATTTGGCGATTTATATCAAAAGTCTGAATCCATGGCTTCTCCTATCTATCTATCAAAAGTCTGCCGATCCTAAACCTAAGTATATACTATGACTACTACTAGGCTTGAATCTATTAGTAGCTGACAGATGTTCAAGTCAGATTACTTCTATAATATGAACCACCATATTACCATGATTCTACCGACGTGTGGCGCCCGAGAGATACCAACACAAGTGTCACAACAACAACACCCTCCACAAAGTTTGACAATTTTTATGATTCTAAATGGTGTGGTTGCGACTAAAGTAACTTTTGGTTGGTGCGATGCGATACGATATATATAAATCACACTA